AATGCATCAGCTCTCTCTGAAGCAGCAACACGGGTCAAACTTTTCCTTTTATAGATGCAAGTCCGACCGTAAACACAATTCTTCTCAAACTGTGTGGGCAAGCGCATTTTGTAATGAATTTATCATTGATGGAAAGTGAGACAATTTTAAAATGTATGAGACACGAAATGTCTAAATGGAGAGTTTTGTAGTTTTGCTTGGTATACGCGATACCCTTGAACATGGTAAAAATTGATGAACAATGCGGTAGTATCACCACCTGACAAATCATAGCAGAATCAAAATTCCAGAGTTTATAAGGTCACCTATGTAGCTACCCACACATATAATCAATCATTCAAAGTTGGTGATTTTATTTCATGGCTTTTACGTTGCATCTTAATCCAAACTGGACGAGGACATTTCTTCACTCGTGGATGTCTTTAGAAGAAATGTAGTTTGAAGAAGGCGCAGAAATTGGGCTCGAGAGGAAATTTGGTGTCCCTCTTGGTATAGAGGATGTGATGGCATTTATCCGTTTGAATGACTCAGTGAGCATTATTGGCAGTAAAAAATACCCAATGGAATACCAAAGGCGACAGACTCGAGGAGGAATAGACAACAACTTCATTTTTATTTTACACCCTCTAATCTTCTCTCCTGCCGGCTGTTCACCACAGTTTGCACACTCAAACGGTTAGATTGAGGTGCGGATGGCGTGCACTATCAAATGAATCCGAGCAGTACGGCTGCATTATGTCCCACTCAGGACGACTCAGCCTTAATTATTTCAATGGTGGACGGAAATAATGAATTTTTATCGTACTTTGCGATATTACTCGTCAACTTATAATTTATTGTACGATACCATTTTCTCGCTGCCTGAAGGGGATCGGAATTCAAAAGTGGATAAAAAAGTCCAAAGTGTGTGCTTGTTTTATTGACTCTGCTGATACATACTTGGTGTAACTCATGTATGCATTTTTAACATGATTATTGGTTTGGCTATCGGTCGAACAAAGAAAGAAAAACAGGAGGATCACCGCACTATTGTATGTGTACACAATATGTATGTACATATGTATATGCTCACACGACGCAAAACAGCAGCATCATGTGTTAACCCAGCTTTCCCTCCTCTGTTAGATTTCCAGCCCAACAACTGTTTGTCGAATTTCGGAAAGAATTCCCCAAAGAATTTTTACGCAGTTGAGTCGACAATCTCTCAATCGCTTTATTCCTCCAATTCTACGGCTTCCTTGCTCACCAACAACCACGACCCCTCAATTCGATGGTGTGGAATTATTTGCATCATAAAATGAAGTTCGTTCATAGCAATTGAGTCAACTCAACGGTTAGTTTCATTCGATTGTAGCACCACTGACACTCATCAAATTTGCCTGGAAGCCATATCCATAATGAGAATGAAACTTTTGGTTTGTTTGAATTGAAAGGGGATGAGTAGGATAAAATTAGATTTATTGTATGAATACAAAATTCCGTCCATACATCAATAGAAGACAACACGGGAGGAGGACGACGACAATGAGAGCCTGCGCATCCTTTATCCCTCATTTAAACATGCAAGGAACGAGCGGAATAATGGGGAGCAGCAATTACAAACTGTTTTAAATGTTTATCTCCTAATTCCCAAGGAGAAAGCCGTGGCACGCCTCTTGAATTCATGAAGCATTGAAATTCTAGTAAATTTCGTCTCCTTCGTGACGGCGGCCATATGTCGACGGACATGGCGAAGAGGTTTGAACCTGAACTTGAAGGTAAAGGCGATTTGTTGCACCAACGCATAACAATAAAAATAAAACGCAGCACTGTGCACTCCACTGCATTGTAATGTAATTCAACGACACGGAAAAGAAGGCACACACCACTCGAATGCGTGGCAGGACTGCACCTTGTCTCTGTCATTGTTGTATTGCCTCCCCATAAAAATATGGCCCCCTACACCGAACCACCGTACATTCCGAGAGAAAGCGGATAGTGAACACATTCACTTTCATGGAGGACGAGGACCATGCCATCCATGTACATGCATAAAGGATGGAGTGGCAGAAAGAGAATAGCAGGAACGGCACGGTGCCCAACAGGGACTCTCCGGATGACAAAGAGAGAGAGAGCACACGGGTAGCCATGCAGCCTAACATAAAGATTCCTCTCAGTGACATTGTCTTCTCCTCTTCACTGTTTGTGTATGTTGGAATGAAATGAAATACGATTTGAAAATTTAAATTTGAAATATGCACAACCACCACCACGACCAGAAATATGTGTATGTCTTGTCCTTCCCTTCCGCCCTTCCTGTGCTTTCTCTCCTCTGCTCCAGCCAGCTAAGGCGAGTCAATTGTGGGAACAAATTGGGAAATGGAGCCACTTCCCGTATTTGGCCCGAGGAGGTGAAGAGTACAACGAGGAGGGAGCAGGGTGGGCAAATAATGGAGGGACTAATTTAAATGGTTTTCTGTAAAAGCGAGCATCTTTTCCTTCTCCCTTCATAACTTGCACCACCACCACCACCACCGCCACTTCTCTCGGGCAAGAAACCACTTATTTTTGAGTAACTAAGTAAGTGACATTAAGAAGAAGGAAGTATGAGATGGTAGATGAAAGCGTTGAGCTCATTAGCTAATATGGCACTTGTGGAAAGTACGGGCGAGGAGAGAGAGGAAATCGTAGTCAGTGGAAGGCTGCGTCTTAGGTTCACTATTTGGTACTTTCACTTTGCAATGGCGTCTGGCGGAGGAGTAAGAACTGACATACTGACTGGTGCAGGACTGGGTGGATGTATAAGTACCAAAAATAGTGGTGTTTCTCATACCATACCACTGAAGAGAAGCATTGTTGATGAGTGGACCAATATGCAAAGTAAGAGGGAGTTGCTCAACATAATGGCATAAATTACTCCATTTTTTAAACTAAGCTTAACCGGCAAAGATGCTTTCGTTGTTTTCGTTTTTGTGTCCATAAGTAATTTTGTACTGAGAAAATTTATGCCGGAGCACAAAGGCACATTTCAGCATAGTATTTTCCCTCCGTGGTGGGAGTGTAAAGAAAGTATTCACATAAAAAACTGGTAGTAATCCTTTGTTGGCTTTTCTCTCTGGTAATATGAACATGCACATACGCTTTTTTCGCCTTTGTCTTCCTTCCTACATTTGTGCAGACTTTGGCCGGAATTGAAGAAGAAGTAGGAGTAGTCGCGTTGTAATGGCCGTGGTCGTGGCAGCAGTAGACAAAGAATGAAAGTTCATGCACACTTTTTCAACTTACGAATATGACGACATTGAACTTGGACTCTCTTTTTTCTGCTTTTTATATATATCCATAGTACGAATTTTGTGGATAGTGTGGGTGGGAACCTGTCCGACTTCTTCTCTACAGAAAGAAGACAACAGTGTCTTGAAACAGCAAAATACAAAACACGAAAAATATCAAAAATACGGAAATATTATTATTATAACTACAATGAATCGAGTGAAAGTTATTCCCTTTTTGCTCAGTTGTGTTTCTCCTGCAAGTAAAGACAGAGGTTTGTTCAAAATTTGTGTCTTCCAACATCAGGACAAAGCACAGTGCGGTATCCAGCGAGAAGGGGAAATGTAGGAGCACAAATGTGTAGGATGGAATGAGAGGAAAGCATAAATAAATTTTGCATTCCCAGATGAAAGGAAATATATCTCATTTTGTGTATGGGTGATGAGTGTGAGGTTAACACTCACCTTGATTTACTTGCTCGACAGCCCCTTCACTCCATGTTACCTCGACAGTTCGACACTGTCTGTGTCGCCATTTTATGTCAGTAACATTCAACTTTGTTGACCTCTGACCTCGACAAATTTCAAATGCGGATGAATAATCCGCCTCTCGTGCCTAGTGGCCGGAATAACTCCTCGCTATGAGTTTGCCTATGTCACGCCATGTCAACTTTGTCTTTCCGTTCCATGGTCTTGCTTATGGGGGTGCAATGAAATGCAGTGCCTTCGGCGGAGCACGATTGCATCCATTCCACTATCTACATTACGGTTATTAAAGGTCTGTCCTAATAAATATCCCAGTCCCCACGGTCCCACTGACAGTTCTTGCCTCATAAGAAAGATGTTCACCACCTTCAAGTTGGGGAAAGGGGAGTCGCATTCTGACATCCCAATTTGATTTCCTGCCTCCGCCTCACCCCATTCTCATCTTCCTTCAAGTGTTTTAATTCTAATGCCAAACTACCTTTTAAGCATTTTAGCGTTCGAGATGAACTCACTAAGCACTTTTGGACTTTCCCCGTCCTGGGAAACTGACACATTAAAAAGTGAACTGCGATCATTCACTGCAACTTCCCCCCGCAGGAATCCCAATATAGAACCTTGCATGACGGGGAGGTGGAATTTTTGCATTTTTACGCCTATTCCTCGTAGTAAAGGAAAGATGCTAATGATATCTCTCATCAAATGAATATTGCATCCATGACATGTTATGAAAGAGCGGAAAGTGATGAAATTGCATAGTGCAAAACTAGGAACGGGTATTAAATTCGTTGGTGACATTTCTTCTTGTGATGATGATGGAGATATAACGCAAATTAGTACGCAAATAGACAAAAACTTTCATATCTAGGTCACCATCGACAGCACTAGTCAGCCAATTAATAATTCTTAGATATTTATCTCTGATAGAATAATTCTTGATTATATAATTCCCAAAACTTGAGTGGCATGCGACAGAATAATGAGAGAGGAGTTTATGCCTTACACTTAACGCAAAACAAGCTTGTTTGTTGTGCAACCCATCCATCCATATTGATTTGTTTTTTAATTACACACACACATTCATATATTTAGAACGTCATGCAATTTTATTGGGCCAGAACTTTGAAAGTTAAAGTTCTGGTGGTTTATAAAAATTACTTATGAGGAGTCATAATGATAATGAAATCTAAAAAATAATTTATTTATGTAATTCCATATTGTTAAAAAGTGTTAAAATAAATCTAAATGTTTGTATTTTTTCTATTGCAGAGTTGGAGAAGATGGCCAATGGGATGAGGCAAGTGGAACAGTGACAGAAAACAACCGAACAAGCTATCAGGTGGGTATTTTCATTTTATAAATTTCTACGCTTCAACTGAACAATTAAATTTGTCGACAAGGAGAAAGGAGCCAATTTCAGTTTAGCTTGTTACTCTTCACTCTATAATTTCGTGTTGTACTTAGCCTTTCGTATGCACGGAAAGTGTTTAGAGAAAAAAATGAAGAGAGCATGAGCGAAATTTGATGGTAACAAATTGATGTTTGAAGCAGAGGTCAAAGTTGCTCTGGCTTGATTGATGAAACGTCTGTTGATTGCAGGTGACGGGATTGCAACCATTCATCGTCTACAGTTTTCGAGTGGCAGCCGTCAATGCGTTGGGGAAAAGTCCACCTAGCAAAGAATCCTACTACATTGTCACTCTCCGAGAAAGTAAGTTTTCTCCATGTCACTTCATCCATGTTTAAAGTCACTGAGCTGCTTCTGCTGCAAAGTAAATGATGGTTCACTCAACTCTGACAAATTATTAGGGCGACCAAAGAAAATTGCAATATTTTTTTCTTAATACCTTTCTTCCCTGCCTGCAGCCTGTTCAACATAAGTATGTATGTGTGCCACTGGTGTAAAGACTGCAATTTTCTCTTCGTATTCATTTCGTCTTCCGTTGGAGAGAATAAGTGAGAAAAAACCTGCTCCGAAATGACGAGGAGTGATGAATGGGCAGAGCGAGCGGATACAGAACTGGTTATCATCTTCTCTCTGGTTAGAGAAAGCTGTAAAGACGACGATGACGACGAGGGGAGGAAATCACATACACTCGAGTTTCGCGAGTCAACAAGAAGAGGACGACATTCTGGCGTCCACTACCACACACTGGTCAATTCAATTGAGAGTGTAGAGCGGAAGAAGTGTCCTCCTTAACCGAGTCAGTTTATCAAAAAGTGTGTGTACGTGTCTCTTGCAATTGGTAAAATAAGGCCGAGATAATGAATGGGACAAGTTGGTCCATAACTACATGGACATGCTCACTCCTTGCGATTGCGACTCGCTCTCTCCATGGCTGGAAGGCGAGATGAGATGAGATCAGGGCAGCAAGCAGGAGCCAGCAGCAGGTTCAATGAATCCCTTTCCTAAATCATAAAAGGGCCTCCTCCTCCTCTCTTCTTCTGTAAATGCACATTGTATTGCTCCACATTATTCCATGAGGCTCGAGTTTTGTCGCATATTTATTATATTTGTACGTTTGCGAGGCCAGAACAAGAATGCAATAAGTATGGATATGTAAAGGAGGGTTTAATTTAACATGATTAGTGGAGTTTACATAACATGCCAACCCAGCAGCAGGTGAAGGACCTCCTCAACAATGGTCATACTTTCTTACGGGTGTAATAGCGTAGTAATACAGGAATTCCAAAGCTATCCTCCTCCACCAGCAGAAAGCAGAAGCAGCTGTGTTTACCATACTCGAACTTTCTCCACGTCCCATAAAATCAAGACGTAATGTTGGGCTGGCTGGGTGTCGTTGGACTTTCTCTGGACCGGACTTTCACTGGAAGTAATAAGTTCCAAGTTTACCTCACCTTTTCAAGTGTAGAGGAAGCTGAATATATAGTAAAAGTATGACATATCGAAAATAACTCGAGTTGGGGAAACTGAAATCTAAAACTTTTTCGCAGACAACTCTTCTCTAACAAAGATGCACAAATAGATGAAGAAGTCCACTCCACTTGTTTCTTGTTCTTGATAAAAGGACAATACAATAAGGAGGTTGGAATGCTGGATCAGAGCAGAAGAGAAAGTTATGCTTTGCTTCTCTACTACCAGGCTTTCTCCTTATTTAGAATAGACCAATGTACCAATATTTCCTCAAGTAAATCAAAAGTTGATCTTTTCATTTTGTCCGGGTACAAGAACAAAGGTTACTTTGTGAAATACTCCCAGAACTTTACCACAGTCCATTTGTCAACCCGCTGTATAAACAGACCGAAAGAGAGAGAAAGCAGGAAAAACAGAATGTTTTACTGAACGCTGCCATGCAATGGTTCAAAATATCCATCCACACATTGCATTGGGCTGAATTCCACCACCACCGCTGCTTCCGGATTCATTCATTGTGCACCTTTTACTGCTTTTACCCATTTCAAAGTTGAGGAGATAAGAGGAGAGAAGCAATCTAAATGAATAATGGGAATTGCCCTGACATAAGTTTTCGCGAGTAACGTATTTGGGGGGAAATATATCGCGAAATAAAGTCCGGCTGTTCCTCTCAGTCAACATGAGAGAAATGGGGAGCAAACAATTGGTGCAAAATATATATCACTTGTCTTCTACAAAGTTAAACTTTCCACTCGTCGCTAGAAAGGCTAAAGGAGATCCTAAAGACAAATAGGCAGAAGAATTCGACCCCACTTCCAGGTTCAGGTGTCCACATCCACTGCTCTGGCCCAAGTTACGACGACTACTTTAGCAGATTTCACCCAGATTCGAGATTTATTTATCTCGGCGGCTGGAAGAAATGAATTTGCGAATGTGTGGCTTTGATGAATTAGGAGTATTTGGGTTATTGTAGGATTACGAAATAGTAAAGTTTTATTTGCCTTGGCTCACTTTACGACAAGACAAATTCCGGCCTTATCCATATGCATTTGCCAAATTGTTACCGCAACGACTACCTTTATGACCACCGAAATTGGCTCATCAATTGTATAACTCGGAAGCAACAACTCGACCAAGTTGTGCAGAATCGTTAACTATCCGCCTTTATTTCAATCTGCTAGACCCGTGTAGATAGTTGTCATACAAGTTGTTTTCAATTATTAATTTTATTTATAAAAAGCGCTTCAGCCTAACCCCAAAAAGCTCATCAGTCATCATCCAGCTGATATTCAGTGGTTTGCATAGACGTGCTTAAAATATTGTGACAGGAATTTTCGCAAGGACGATTTGTCATTTGGTGAATGTACATAGAAGATGAGGGCATTTTCTCTTTTGTGAAGATTTTAATACAAATAAATGGCCATCCCTCTTTTACTCCCGCAATGCGATGGTTTTTGTCCCATTTCACTGACATAAATAAAGTTTTCTCTTTATGTGTATCGGCCTCTGCCTATTTTTTCACTGCTTTGATTTCCTAGAAGGCACCAAGATTAAAGAAACATTTATTTCGACAATGATTAGTGAAAGTTATTGATTATTCTTCGTCAGACAAGCAGCACTATCCGGAAGTCATCAAGGATCAACGCTTTTGAATTTACAGACTCTTGTGGGATGAGCAGTTTGATCATCAGCGTCACTGCATGGCTGACCAGAGAAATAGGCTCCATTTAGTGTAGAAGAGCAAATCATTGCTTATTTATTTCTAATTATTTTCGGAATCCTTGATGATGATGAATAGTAGTGGGACCTAAACGTCTATTTTTGCCACTGTTGTTCCACGTCGAACAACTTTTACGCAGCAATTGGAAATAAATGAGTTTTTATTCCTTTTCTTGACTGCACATTCTGCTGGACTGAACATTTCATTTCGGTTCGGGTTCTCACCATAAGTCACTCGCTCAGGCAAATTTCAGGCAAATTTCTCTCTCTGCATTTGAGAAAAGCCACAGAAGAGCTGTTTTAATTGAAGAAGAGCTCATAATTATTTCCATGTTTTTGGGTGGCGGTGGTGGTTCTGCATGGTAATTAAAGTTGGAGGGAGTAAATAGAGGCTAGTTAAATTAGGATTAATTCTCGGGCTCATTTACCGCTTCGATGGTGTTTATGAAGAGAAAGTGGCGGCGTCAGAGATTGGAACGTAGAATTTCCTCCCCACCAGCTCATTTTCGTGAAAGCGCAACAAATTACAAGTACATTCTCCTTGCGTACATATTCCTAGAAGCGTAATCCCCTTTTGACGTACATGTATCAAAATATTTTTACCATTTCCTAGAATTCGAGTTCTGAGAATAAAATGTAGAATTAATTTGATGATTGAGCTCTAATTTTAGTTTGCGAAATCCTTCCATCATTCATGGTACGCATGTAGCAAGTAAGTACTGATAGCTGACTTACAGAAATGAAAGCAGTGAAATTGCTAATACAAAGGAATTCAATTCCACCAATAACGAGAATACTGTCAAAACAAATCAGTAGATCTCATTGTTCCACATTGCAAAATAGTTTGAAACATTCAACTTGTGATATGCTGATGACAGCCACACACAGTTTGTGTATTCCTTGAATTGGCTGAAAGGAATTTGAAACATTTTCAGCAAATGTTAAGTGTATGAAGTAGATAGGTTGCGGAGTCCTGGGTTTCCAAATTTCCAGAGAATTTCGCCAACCTTGTCTAATTCAGATTTCGTGAAATATGTATCTCATATAATTAGTTCATTTCCAGACTCGTGTGTATATCACTGAACAAAGTGTTGCATAAGAAAGGGAAATTTTAACTATGCAGATGCTCAACTATGCGGCATCAGCAGCAGCGAGGATGCTTCCATTCATTCTTAAACCTCGAGTATTTAATTTCAAGAATGCCGTCGTGAAATAATGACCTTATTTAAAATACGTATGACCTTGGCCTAAATTGTGCACTATTTTCAAAATCTTTTGTAAAATGATACGATTGAAAAATTTCTATCTACATATGCGACTTAAAAATAGTGACTAAAAATGTCTAGACTTTTTTCGTACCTATTTTCTCTTTTTCTAAAAAACGTTGTTTATTGTGTTTGTAGTTCCTGATGGGAAGCCGACTATAACTGCGGCCCAAAATGCGAGCTCCACGTCGATCCGCCTGGCGTGGCGTCCTCCCCAGAGGCACACGATTCACGGCGAGTTCATCGGCTACCGGTTGGCCTTCAGACCGCGTGACAAAGGAGTCGACTCGATCCAGGAAATTTATCTTCGCGACCCCAACATCGAGGTTCGTTTGTATAATTTGTAATAATAATAATAAGGAAATCTGATGTTCCGCTTCACATGCAGTTTCGTTTGCAAAGAGGCTGCTACGAAAATATAATGGCTTTCCTCAAAAGAACCAGTGCATACCAGGGAAATTACTAAACATCCAATAGGAATAGGAAACACCGCAGTGTTTGCATGTTTCGTAATGGTCATGACCAAAGAGAAACTAATCCATTTATTTCAAACCCTTTTTTCCCTTCACCTTCCACTTCCCATAATTTATAAAAATGCACTTACTCCGCCTTTTCATTTCATTCATGCAGTCATTCGCATTTTCCTGATGTACACTTTTCCCAGTCAACTTCCGCTTGCACACGATTACGCATTAAGCATTGTCCTCTAGACTTGCCTTCCAATTTTGATACCATAAACATAACATATATATTATAACGGTTGGACATGTTGTTAAAAATTTCAAATAGCCGGAAATTAGATAACAAAATGAATGCAATTGGTTCCTTTTTAAAAATGACTTCGTGACAACAAACTTTAAATTTACTGCTGATGACATTAAGAGAAAGCTAATCGGTATGTTGTTATGTGCTTAATTACAGTCGTACATTATACAAAAGTTGATGACTTTCACCCAGTACCTCGTCTCGCTTCAAGTGTTTAATCCGGAAGGGCTTGGTCCACCGACCACTGTGGCCGTCATTACGGACGAAGGAGGTAAGTAAAACTATTAATAATTATTAAATAATTATTACGAATAATATCAGCATACCAAAAAACGCATCCGAGTTCCGTTGCACTTACCTTTACATATGCGAATACATGGAGGATATATTGCTAATAAGTAAGTATATATATGAGTACAGTGTTGCAATGAAACACGAGAACAGGAAATTATGTGAAACCGTTTAATTTTGCACTAGTATGACGAATGACACAATACAGGTCAAACAAACAAACAGGCAAAAATTAAAGTGAATGTTCCTTCACGCAACATGGTAATTAATTCTGCTCGATCGGAATTTGTGCGTTGAATAATTCGGTACACGTATATTTACTTATTTCATAAACAAATGACTCTGCTGGAAAAGATCCATCCCGGATTTTATAGAGTTCTAATAACACGGTGGCAATAAAGTTAAAGTACATTAACATAAAGTGAAAACTCTCAAAAATCGGTTTGTGAAATGTTATCTAAGTAGAATAATGTGAATTTATGGACAATAACAATGTAGATAGAAATATTTTATATTTAGACAGATAAGGCAAAGCACATAAAGGGTCTTGAGGCAGGGTGAGATGAGAATCGAGAGAGAATGGCTGGTTTTCCGTTCGGGTCAGAGACGACATCTGTCCTGAATCCGAGCTAGCTTTCACTTTCCTTAGTCTTTCTCCAGATGACTTTCACCATCGCCACTGTGAGTGTTCAGTTGGCCATGACTCACTTTCCCCATCCAAATGTAATTTTGAGACTATTGAGACTTTTGATTTTCGGAAAATCCAATTTCAAAATCACAAGTTACAATTATCTCGGGGTTTAAAGATTTGTTTTTAGTTAGCTCATTGTACGATGGCACATTTTAAAGTAGTCCATACTCACCACATGATGGAGATTTATTAATTCACATGTAATTAAAATTAATAAAATTATTTGAATCATGTTGCAACTTACAAGTAGTAAGACTAGACAGCCTAGTAAGATGTACACTACTTTTGTTAAACTCGAAAAATTTATCAGTATTGTAATTATGGTTTGAAGGAATTTTATGTCTTTAATGTTCAATTCTTGAAAGTCAGTTGAATTACACAGATTAAAATACGGAGGACCTTGGTTTTTGTGGAATTGATGTGTTTATTACACAATCTTCAATTTTTCTATCACTCCTAATTTTATACTATGATAAGTTTGAAGCACTAAAATAATTGTTAATGTATTTTTCGAATGGTAAACACCACTTGCATATAGTAATCTGCAAAAATAAGAAGCTACAGAAAACGAGTTTTAAATACGTGGTTCATATGCATCGCCAACCCAAGCCTAGTTGAGATTTGGGAGAGACAAAGACAAATCAATGTGCAAACAAAGACTTTGAGCTACGCCCGTGGGTTGCAGATGGAGCAAAGTGTTCGTTTTCTGGCTCAAAATCATTACATGGTTCTTGCTGGGTGAGGCTTTAACACTTAATAAGTTTGCACTTTTAATTTCAACCACATTTTATCAAATACGATACGATGATATCAACATTTGTCCTTCTTCTCTGCTAGTGTCCAGAGGTCATCTGCCTACTACCTATATTTAGCCATTTGTCAACAATACATTAAACAGATACATGTATGACTAATGCCTGATTTCATGACGCTGCATTCATCAAATGATTGAATTTAGTAAATCTCTGCCCTTTACAATATGCATGTAAAATAATCGCTACACACTTTGCTTTGTCGTGGATGGATTTTGGAAGAGTGCACAAAATGCACTCTTCCTTGGTTGGCAATCATATCATAGCTGGGAGATTGTGTTACGTTCCAAAAGACTGCTGCTAAATACAAAGACATGGAGAACCGACCCATCCAAAATCATGCTTGCGATGCATACCAACACTATAAGAGTACGGGAGAAGGACCATGTGTTGTTTGTAGTAGTAGTAATCAGTGTGTGTGTAGTAGGTGGAGGGTATGAACACAGATGTTGTACAATTTTCTACCCTTAAAAGAACAATGAAGTCTCCGTTTTCTCCCCCGCACTCATTCCACAGGAGATAATGAAAAACTAGATCTCTAGATCTGTATATTTTATGAATCAATATTAACATAACATTTTTGTAGATAGCTTTGTACAAAATTGATACATATCACCAGCACCAACAGAACAACCACCACCACCATCGTCGTATCATATCATCAAATGGATGGATAAGCCATGCAAGCACGACCAACCAAAATCTCCAACTTTAAGCAACGAGCTACATACACACGAATTACATTTACATGGGGTTTGCAGCCTTTCTTTAATGCAAACTTTTTTATTGAGTTCCTCTACTGCTCTCGGTTCTCCTCTGGTTTGGCTGGTGTTGAATGCGGCTGTTCAGCTCAGTTCAGTTGGTGGTGTCGTGCAGGCGAGTAGTGTTACTTGTTCATACTCGGTCGTCGGATCAAATCATACTGTGTTGTTGTTATTGGTCGGTGCCTGGTTTTGCTGGTTTGTGGCCAGAACATTGTACTCATCGTATCGTATCTGCTGCTTCTGATGATCAGATTCTCATTCGAGAAGAGATAGACAACAAAAATTGATAGTTGTTGGATAATTGATCCAAATTGAGGAGATCGCTTGATATTCGGATCCTGAAATCAACATGCAATGCAAATTCCAGTCCATTGAGTGAGAAAGCTGATCAATTTTCATTCCAACCTGTTCAGGAGGAGCTGAAAACACAAAATGTTGTTTAGGTAGGAAAAAAATCTCTGAAAACCTGATGTGTTGGTTCTTTGTCAGAGTTTGCAAAAAAACACTGAGGGGATTATTGTGACTTTGTGCAAGTTTTGATAAAACTTTAAAACTTTTAGTGATAAATTTAATGCCAGGACAAAAGATATTAAAATGGAAAGGAAAAGGACAATTGCATAGTTGCAGACAGTGCATTGACTGAAATTTGTGAATTGGGGTACTTAATCTGAGGAAATACGAAATTGATTCCGCCGACAAGAAGAATACAATTTTAAAAGTTAACAATAATGGTGTGGCTGTAATCAGGTAACTTTTTCTCTATTTACATACATACATATTTTTGTCATTTAAATGGATTTCGAAAAGTTAAAGCTTCAAACGAAATGTTTCCGAACACGATGTAACTGCTGCAAAATGTTTATAAATGTTACCCGAGTCAGGTTTTATTGTAAGTTAACGGTATATTGAGCATTTAAATTTAGTAACTTGGTGCATGACTAGTCTTGTTGAATGGATGATGTCAATATAATTCCGAGTAAAATTATATGCTTGGGTCCACATCTTCATTTCATAGCACGATCCAATGTCCTTTGACTCTGGATTTATGCGACGCTTTGCATAATATGGTCTTTGGCAACAAGGCAACGTTATAATGGACTATATGTGCTAATTGCCATTCCAAACATTAAATGAGGAAGGTTGCGAATACTTAAGCATGCTGGTGGTTTGCAACTGACTAAATCAATTTTGCGGACAACAATCACGGTCAGCCAGGCATGACCATAGCTAAAGTTCGGGAGAGACTGCAACGTTAAATGTTTCCCCATGACTTTTCCGAAGTAGGGTTCCATCCGTCCTCAAAATTTAAATATTTATGTATGACATTAACATATTAAAGGAATAAGACGTGCATTTAGTAGTGGGTAAAGATTTGCCGTGAAAATTCACGAGTTAAGGTTGTCCCACCCCCACCTAACTCATGGTCAGAAAAAAAGTCCTTCGAAATTTTGGCATACATAGTTTCGCCGACTAATAATATCTGACTGGCTGACGATATTATCGTCATCATCATCTTCCAGTATAGAAGCATTGCCCTTTAGTAAAGTATTTGACATTCAGGTTCCGATGACCATCGTCCAAAGACCTGAGAATATTTTATATGTGTAGGTATAGATTCACATTTATGATTTGAGGACATCGTCTATCTAGTCTATAATTTTCTCTCTATATAAATCAAATCTGATAGCTTGGGTGCGATCCACCTTCCGACATTGCTACTCTGAAGCATACACTTGATGTCAATTTATAATCAGTTTGCTGTATTATTGAGAACAAATGTCAAACTCATACCACGATACTTGAGAATGACAAGAATTCATCAGAGCTTGAATGAAGTGGCACTTTTTACTTCATAGGGAAGAAAAATCCTTGATTTGGTTCTCACAAGAGCAGAGTGATAAAGTTAATTAGTGCGTTGAATTAAGTCTCGATAGCTTTATTGACACCACTCCCAGCGCAAAGATGCCCCATTTTTAATACTTTCATTTTGCGTATTTATACAAACTAACTGACACGATGTGAGATAACTTTGTATTACAGTTTACATTGGCCATTACATTGACCAGATCATTGACAGGAAATCAGAGAATTAAACAAACGTAAAAGCACATATATAATATCCTTCTGATTCTATAAGAGTTTCATGATGATGAAAATGAGAGGAGGCGAAGAAGGAACAAATGAGTCAGCCACATTTATTTGAAGCGTCTTGTTTGAGAGCTTATTTATTCTCACTGTTAAATGAAGTTGGCTTGCCTCTAGTGGTGGCGTCGTGGGCGATTGCATTTGTCATTCAACTTTCTGTTCTTGGTTGATGTGCTAAACGACGGCGAAATGCATAGTTTAGTGTGTCCACAACATTAAGTTCAAATTGAAAGGATTATGCATTGTATCTCAATTCATTATAAAAATAGGAATTTTTGAGACAAATGTTCCTCACTAGACGTCAGTTTTAACGGAATAATTTCCCATTTAATAATTCTGTTGCCTTAAACTATAAGTAATTACCATCATTATTGTAAAGGCAGAGGTTCCTACTTATTGCAAGCAGTATGTATTTGCATAGATGTTTAAACAGAAGTTGAAGTGATTTCCCACAACAAACGGTTAAACAAATTAATGTAACATTGTAACCCTTTTGCAAATTTATACAATTAATGAGTTACGCTTGTATCAAACAATAGAGCACCTTCTAAACCCAATTAAGTGAGTC